CAATCTAGCCATTCATTCCTATGCCTTTTTTTTTGTTCTGACTGACGGCGGCCCCAATGCCAAGAAAACAAAAAAAAAAAAAACCAGACAGCAGGGAAAGGTTTACTCTGCTAGATCGAAAATGTTTCTCTCCCTGGTGTCCGGGAGCCGCTATCATATAGCGGGAGACTCCCGGAACATCCGGGAGAGTTGAGATGTCTGCAGGCCCTTCACTCTCTACATGTTATATGTACTGAACTTGTTATTTCCCTCACCTATCAGTCCATCTCAGAGGACACGGTTGGGGTCAGCAGCTGAGTATATACAGTATCTGGGTAATGCTGTTCAGCCAGGTAATATGCATTCACTTTTGGCCTCATTTGCATAAGGACTGTTCTATACTGACAGCCACTAGTCAAATCTAAAGAGCAAACTGACAAGTTGGAGAACAAAAGTTTGGAAGTGATTGATGGCTGCGGAGATCATTCACCACTCTTCTTATAAAAGAGAAAACTTAAATGCTGATTTATGAAAAGTGTTGCTTGGAAATCTGTAACAAATTAGTATTGTCCATAAAAAACAACCACATCCTACAGATAGCAGATAGTTGCTTCCTGTACCAGGATGTGGGGTCACTGGCGTCCTGGCAACTAATGACGCAGGTCAATGTCATAGGTTGCTAAGATGCTGGTGACCCCACAGCATTTTTGACTGCTATGGTGCGGTCTCCTGTGTCCTAGCAACCAATGATGCTATGTCCCCGTCGTCCTAACGCCCTTTGGGGCGGTGAGCGTTGACCGCCACAGGGCCAGGGATCAGGTGAGTATATCTGCTTTATTTTCACCCCTAGACCAAAACGAGCACTTAACCCTTGCTGTGAAGGGATAGTCCCAAGGCAAGGGTTCATTTTTAGGTTGCCTGGAGTTCTTCTTTAAAGCAAAGATCTAGCTAGACAGCTAAGTACACATTTAAATACACAGCCTACAGACAGCGGATAGTTGATTGCGGTATCAGGACGTGGGGTCACTAGCATCCTGGCAACCAATGACGCAGGTCATACATTGTCATTGGTTGCTTAGATGTTGGTGGCCCAACGGCATCATTGGTTGCTACGGTGCACCCCTCTGTGTCCTAGCAACCAATGATGCTGTGCTGTTCAGCCACTGGAGTCCTAGCAAGCACTAATGCTGTTCATGTCAAACAACATCATTGGTTGCTAGGACACAGGTGGCCTGGGCTTGGTTCACCTGGACGTTCACTCGCTAGGTTTGGTAAAGTTCCAAGTCTTACAGGGGTAGCCAACCTCGGGCCCTCCAGCTGTGGTGGAACTACAAATCCCATGAAACCATGCAAGATTCTCACAGCCAAAGACATGACTCCTGGAGAGAGATGCATCATGGGATTTGTAGTTTCCCCACAGCTGGATGGCCGGAGTTTGGCTACCCCTGGTACAAGAGAACCACACTCAGGCACGTTTGGCTCATTGCCAGTATCTCCATTGGAAGATCTCCTTCATCAGGGCTTGAGCCTTTAACTAAATGTCAGGTAGACTTCTGGCAGATCCTGCGTAAAAAGGGCTCTGCAGCTGTAACGTTTGTACAATGTTTACATGCACACAGCATATAGCACAAATGTTCCCTATTGTTTGCTAGGTTACTTCAGCCCCCTGCATCCTAGCAACAAAACAAGCTAAGCGGCTCAAGCCCCCTTGTTCCTTGTAACAAAGGACAAGCTGCCTGCATCCTAGCAAGGAAAGCCACCTGCATCATGCCAACTTACGATGAGCTTCCTGCATCCTAGAAATTAAGCATGACCCACCTGTATATTACCAACAGAGGACACTAGGAAGCTTGAGCCCCCTGCAACCTAGCAACAAAGGATGAGCTGCCTGCATCCTAGCAATGAAGGACCAGCCATCTGCATCCCAGCAACAAAAAAACGCTAGGCGTCTCATGCCCCCTGTATCCTAGCAACAATGGATAAGCCGCCTGCATTCTAGCTATGAAGGATATGTTGCCTTTACCATAGCAACCAAATGCACTAGACAGTAAGCAGTGGACTGCATCCTAGCAACAAAGGATGCTAGACAACGTAAGCCCCCTGCATCTTAGCAATAAAGGATGACAGACAGCTTGAGCCCCCTGCATCCTAGCAACAAATGAGCAGCCGCCTGCATCCCAGCAACACATGATGCGAGGCGGATCAAGCCCCCTGTATCCTAGCAACAATGGATGAGATGCCTACATTCTGGCTATGAAAGATAAGCTGCCTTCCCCCTAGCAACCAAGGACACTAGGCGGCAAGCAGCTGACTGCATCCTAGCAAAGGATAAACTGTACAAATAAAGGATGAGCAGCCTGCATTCTAGCAATGAAGAATAAGCCCCCTGCATCCTAGCAATGAAGGATGAGCAGCCTGAACCCTAACAAATGATGCAAGGCAGCTCCTTCCACCTACCATCCTTTGTTGCTAGGACGCAGGCAGCTCTATTAGAATGTATTCATGCTATACGTTGTGCATGTTAGGAAACACATTCACAGGCATGCAACATACAATACGGTTATTTGCAGAACCTCAGAAGCAGATATTTCTATTTGGATTCTACAGAGCTGAACAAATTGCAACTTTATTGATCTTTACGCATGGTGTACATGGGGCCAATGGTATACACTACACCTATAAAACGCTGGACTGATCTTTTTTTTTTTTTTTTATGGACCCTTTTTACTAAGTGCATGAACTTTAATTTGCTCTGAGATTGTGTTTTATGCCATTTTAATATGAAGATAATAAAATACAGTGTTATCCTATGGCTCTAGTGCTGGAGGGAGACGATAAGCTGCCATGTACCGATATGTACTATCACCGAGTTACAGCAGGTGACAGCACTCACACTGGTTTCTAAGGTTACACAAACGCTGTAGGCGTGCAGTTGACTCTCCCCAATGCAATGCTGGCAGCACATGGACACACGGGAGCGATGGCCGCCATGGCTGTCCCCTTCTTGTGATTGAGAGCGAAAGTCTCGCTCTGCCGGGCTCCATTGCTCCTCACCATGTCCCGGGGGCCTGACGTGAGCGCGCACTGTCAGGGGCAGCGGGGACACCCCGACCTCGCAGCGCTTCACGTGTGACAGCACCAGCAGGGGGGCGCGGCTATGACGTACTCAGTTCCGACTCCGCTCCGCGGTTGGCCGACGCTCTCCCTCGGCTCCCTCCTAGCCACGCCTCTTCTGCCTCTGCGACCAATCCCAGACGGCTCACCGTCCTCGCTCAGACGCCACTGGCCGCGATGCGCCAGCTTTCACAAAGTCCAGCCAATCGGATACTGCCGGGGCTGGGTGTGTGTGTTTATGTGTGTGTGTGTGTGGAGGGGAGAGGGAGAGAGAGGGGGAGACGGGCGGGCAGAGAGGGGCGGCTGACAGGAGAAGGGGAGGGCTGTGAGGAGGCAGGCGGAGGAGGGGGCACACTTTACTGACACCGCTCCCCTCACTTCACACACTGGAGGCGAGGAGCTGGGGGGAGCCGCTTCTTCCACCCCCTCCCCGATCCCATCATCTCGGGCTGAGCACCCTGAGGAGAGGAGGGGGTCCCCATCACCCTGAGAAGAGGGGGTGTCCATTATCCTGGGGTTACCTGTCCCCCATCTGAGGAGAGAAGGGGGTCTTCATCATCCTGGGGTCATCTGTCCCCCGTCTATATCCCTGTCATCACCCTGAGGAGAGGAGGGGATCGTCATCATTCTGGGGTCACCTGTACCCTCACCTGAGGAGAAGAGGGGGTGTCCATCACCTTGAGGAAAGAAAAGGCTGTCCATTATCCTGTGGTCACCTGTCCCCCATCTGAGGAAAGGAAGGGGTCTTCATCATCCTGGGGTCACATATCCCCCATCTATAGCCTTCTGATCACCCTGAGGCGAGGAGGGGGGTTTCATCATTCTGGGGTCACCTGCACCTTCAATCTGAGAAGAGGGGGGTGCCCATCACCCTGAGCAAAGGAAGGGGTCTCCATCACTCTGAGGACAGGAAAGGGTCTTCATTACCCTGGGTTCACCTACTATATCCCTTTGACCACCTAGAGCAGGGGGGGTCACCATCTTTTTAGGGTTACCTGCTCCAGATCTAAGGTAAAAGGGAAGTCTCCATCATCCTGGGGTCACCTACCTTACCTCTCTGACCACCCTCAGGAAAGGAGGGGGTTTCTGTCAGTTTGAGGACACCTGCTCCCCCATCTATAGCTCTCTGACCTCCCTGGAGGAAAGGAGAGTGTCCCCAGCATCCTGCTATCACCTATCCCCCCATCACTGACCCCTTCATTCCAACCAAGTCTGCCCTGCTGACCACCCAGAGTAGAATACGTCTCCAGCCAGCAGAGGAGCATCTGCCGTCTTAGGGTTACCTGAAGCTGCTACCGGTCCAGGCTTTCCAGCTGAGAAGAGGAAGAGGGGTCTCCATCGTCCTGGGATCACCTGCACCCTATCAGCTGCCAGCCTGGGCTTCCCTGCTGACCTCTCAGAGAAGAGGAGGGGTCTCCGACTAACCCAAGAGGGACTGCCATCGTACTGCGTGGGGGTCACCCAACCAGTGACATTCCGCCCCTCTCCTCTGTGACTGGCTCAGGCTTCTGTACTTATTACCCTCAAGCGTGGGAGGGGGGGTGGGTGTTAATATCCCGGGGTCACCTGCTCCGGCCAACCAAGCCAGGGACATTCACTCCCACCCCCCAATCCAAGATTGCCTACTTGACAACCTGAGAAGGAGGGGGCAGGGTGTCTGCCAGAATTCTGAAGACACCTATCACTTCCCCCAAAATCCAACCAGTCAATATCTACCTCCCCCTTTCTGCCCTTCACCGTCTCCCCCCGCCTCCCTCTTCCCGGTCGCAGGGTTTTCCTGCTTACCAAGCTGCTAAGGTCAGGGGGGGTTCTCCAGCTAGCTGCCAAGCTTCCTCAGGTCACTGACATCCACCCCCCCTCTCCTCCTTCCACCTGCCTTCTGTCCTCTCTCTGTTTACTCCTGTCAACCGTGGGCTTTTTTCTACAAGGGAGGGTGCCCTGGTATCGTGTCTTGGCTTGCCGATAGAACCTTCGGCCACCTGACGTCTGCGTGATCTTGGCTGTCTGGAAGACCACCGCTATTACTACAACTACAACCACCATCATCACCCTCTGCTCATCATGTCAATGAATAACCTCGTGGAGGGACCTCTGAGCAGCCGACGTCAGACAGCCGGAAAGTATGGTAAATGGTGAAAGTCCATATTGAACATCGTAGAGACATTCCCAAGCCCCCCCCTCTCCATCTATTTATTTTGGTCCCCGCGCTGATCCATGTTAGCTCATGCAAAGGAACATGAGTTAGATGGTTTCCATAGTAAGTAGGATTAGTGTCGGCAGCTGCGATCAGGTTGTAGCAGACTCGGATAGACGCCGAACTTCCCTCTAAAATAAGCACCATGAAGTTTACTACACTGCACGCTACAGCACATGGCACCACCGTGCATTGATTTATGGGGAAATGTTTTGCTTGTTACATTTGTTAGTTTTTTTATAATCCATCCTTTTCATTCATATCTTGCGTAGATATGAAAAAATAAGATCTCTTTACTGGTCGTTTAGCATTTGAACCTAATAGCTTGCGCTCATTCGCAAACGTAGAGCCTTGCTACATTTGAGGACGGTGGGTGTGAATGGGGGGGGGCACATCATGGAGCTATCATTAGACGCGTGGTCTGTGGAAATTTCCATCCCGTTATTATTTTGATGCTTTCGATTTGGTGACGATTGTGCTTGTTGCCTACAGATATACGTGTTGTTGTTGTTTTTTTTTTTTAAACAATTGGTTACCTCGTCGTAGTTTAGTTCATCACCAGCCGGTATTAATTGTGGCGTCTTTAACCATTTTCGCGGTAACATTAGCTGCATGTTTAATAAATAATAATATTGTAAAATTGCACTCGGTGTGATAGTGTGATTGAAAAAAATAACAATAGGCAGGTAATTTGATCATCTTAGGTAACACTTAATATATTTCAAATCCACAAGGGGGTAGTGATGCACTATCAAGACGCTTGCACTACAGACATGCTGAGTGTTTTTTTTTTTCCCCCCTCTCTGCTCGTCCCCCCCCACCCACCAATGCTCTGGCTTTTTCAGAAAAATGGCACATTAGCATTTTAACTTCAAATACCACAAAGTTATATTTTAATTGCCACGTTAAATTAATTTACTAGTTATGACGCCATAGACATCTCCTTGCATTGTTTATTTTTTATCTAGTTCCTTTTTCCCCTAACGTGCGTTACTAGTTTTATGCTGCGTATCGTTTTGTAGCACGTACAGACCGGTAAAGTTTTTTTTTTTTTTTTGAAGGCGTGTTGCGAATCTGTGCTGTAAAAGAAAATTGAAATGAAATACAAAAGAGCAAATGGTGTCAGTTTGTTTAAGGACACTGAATTTCCTTCAGTCTTATCTCTTGTTGCATTAATTTAGCTGGCGTGGTTGTTTCAAGACATTTTTTATGCATTTCTTTTTGCAAAGGGATGGCCACTGTGTTTTCTGGCAGCTAAGTCCTCATGGTCTTTGGAAAGGGCGTTTTTATTTATTTATTTATTTTTGGGGAGCCAAATAGACTTTCTCAGAAGAGCGGATATTCTGGGTTTGCTAGGTGACTAGTTCAGGATGCTGTTTGTAGACCAAGCTTTGAAGCACCCTAGTATGCTACTCTAAATCCGACTCTTGCGACTAAACAGAGGAAGTATAAAAGGCTTCTGTTTTGTGTGTTTTTTTATTTTTTATTTTTTTTTATGCATTAGCTAGTGTTGACAAACATACATTGGGGTGGGGGATTGAAGAGCTGGCAGTGTGATCCAGTGATCAAATCTGTTTTGTTGTAAAACAACAAAAATATAAACAAATATGATGTAAAATTTTTTGCCCCCCCCCCCCCCCCAGTTCTGCCGTTTCCGCTCATTGACTATGCATCAGACATGGTTAGTGATGCTCCTATAGACAAGCTCGTTCTCCGGAACATAATGCAATCTGCAAACTTTGCACAGCGTCCGTGAATGTGCTTTTGGAGCAGGAGAGAGCGGTCGTTTCAACCCGCGCTTTAAGGTAGACGGTGTCTGGCCCAGTAAAGCGAGCGGCGTCCTTACTGCTTGTGTGAGGTGGTATTGTGGTCTTCATGTTTACTGATTGATCTGCAATACTTTTATCCAGCGTAAAAGAAAATTTGTGAGTGTGTACGCTTCTGGATTAATGTCTAGTGGTGTCTATTTTGTTCAACCGGGTATGAATACACCACCTGCTTCGTCTGTACCAGTTAGGATGCCTTATTCTAGAGAGCTGGCATCACCTTTAATTAAAGCTATTCAGCAGGTATAGGTGACCTGTAACAGCTACTTATGTAAAATCTAATAATGATCCCACTTTATTTCTGCGGTTGTTTGGCCCTTGCGGTAACCCGTAGCAACCCATTAAAAACCCTTATTGCTCTGAGTTGACTGAAGCGGAAAGGGAATTGCATGTACTCCTGCAGCAACCCATAGCAGCCAATTAAAAACCCTTCCTTTATTGCGCTACATTGACTGAAGCAAAAAAGTAAATTGCACATAGTCCTGCAAGGTAACCCGTAGCAACCAATTAAAAACCCTTCCCTTATTGCACTGAGTTGACCGAAGCAGAAAGGGAATTGCACGTACTCCTGCAGCAACCAATTAAAAACACTTCCCTTATTGCGCCGCGTTGACCGAAGCGGAAAGAGAATTGCACGTACTCCTGCAGGGTAACCCGTAGCAACCAATGAAAAACCCTTCCCTTATTGCGCTGAGTTGTCCGAAGCGTAATGTGAATTGCACATACTCCTGCTCTTGATTTCTCTGCGCACTGCCTTATTAAATAACCCTGATAGTATTATTATTCACGGGGAACTGTTTACATGCGTGAAACAAATAGAATGGGAAGCCTCAGGCTTTGACACGACCTTATTCATAAGTTGTCAGCGATACACCGGCATCCACGTCAGCCGCCGAGAACGAAAGCGATTGAATGACATCATCTCGCATCCGAGCGGGACCGTGCGTTTTCTAAACACATTAAACGTATAAATACATTTTTAGCTCTTATGGCATTCAGCGGCACAAATCCAGAAACCGCTCCTTGCGTCTTTTTTTTTTTTCTTTCCAGAAATGTAAGCATTTTTTTCCCAATTCCTAACTTTATAAGCCATTGATAACAAAAAGCTTCTTTTTTTTTTCTGTTCTTTTTTTCCTGGTCGCTGTCCAAGGTGCTGAACATTCAGGGGGAATCCCTTTCCAATAGTCGGCTTGCCTTGTGTCAGTCCTGTCTGCTCGACACTAATGCACATTATTCAAACTTTGTTCTCTATCCCTTTAGCATCAGCGCAGCTTTTAGTATTTTAATTACTCCGTGTTCTATATTACAACAGTAAAATAGGACATGAAATAGTAAACACAAATGTTTGATGAAGCCAAGCAGCAGATTTTTTTTTTTTTTTTTTACAGACTGATTTACTAGTGTGAGCCCAGAACAGTAAATTCCAGCTAAGTCTTGCAAATCGGCTGATCAGCAGCCTCAGTTGATTAAGTTTACGCATATTTTTTTTCTTATTCCCTTTCTGAGGCTCGTCAGCCTACCTTTTATCTGCGCCGAATATCGACGGCGGTCTATATTTTAACACGCATATCTACCAGTCTTTGCATCTTGCTCATATATTTGGGATGGAGTGCAGATACCTGTCATGTAAAAATAAACCCTTCAAAAACATTGGAACCTCAGTGCCTAGCTGCTGCCGAAGAGACCGCTTGCGTCGGCGACCTGTGTGTGTGTGTGTGTGTGTGTGTGTGTGATGACGTATCGTACGAGTTAAACATTTAACTGCTTCAGCAACAGTTCTTTTTCGAGGTTTCTTTTAGCCTCAGCGATCGGGCTTCTTTATTAAGATAGAGAGAAGAGCAGCAATGGTCTACAGAGTACAGCAACCGATAAACAGAGATCAGATATTCACCATTGATCAGTGCAGAGGAGGCTGTGCTATGAAAAAATTGATCACTGGTTGCTGTCGGTTACTACAGATGACTGCTTCAGCTACAAGGTCAAAGCAAGACAGGTCTTTAAAGATCCCTTAAATGTCACAATTGGGTGTATAGTTGTGTATCACTATGATTAGACTTGCTGCTTAGTGATTGATCTCATTTTTTGTTATTGCTGAGTATAGGGACGGAGGGGAGGCTCCATTGCGGTTCGCCCTTTTGGCTTACTTAAGTCCTGGGATATTATTTCTTTTTTGTACAATGGAAGAGATAATTGCCTCAAAAATTGGTAGAAAATAAATCCTTTTGTACTTTTGCCATGCATCATCAAAAAGGTCATGCTGCTTTGTGCGTTAGCTACCGGAGTAATTATGCAATTATAGTATTGAATGCTGTATAATGTGCCAGCATTGCACAGACTTCAAAAGGCAGACTGTTAGGTAAGGTGGATCCTTTTTTTGTTTTGTTGTTCCGGTACGGTGGCCCCGGTGGGGTCCCGGTCGTATCTCGAGGCATGTTTTGTTATGCAGAAAGGCACCTTGTGGTATTTAGTGACAGACGGGACCAACTAAGAGGCTGAGGCTTTCTGAATGCTAAATCTTCAAAGGCGGTGCGGTTCAGGAGCAGCCAGTTTAACATGCTTACATAGGAGCACCATACAGTTATCTACTGACTGCGTGTGAAGTATCTGCGGTTACCCGCCAGTCTACATGCTGTGAAAGCTTCATGTTGCCTTGGTTGGAGGACTACTGATGAAGCAGTGTTTGCATTTGCTACGTAGTGAAGGTTTTTTTTCTTTTTTTCTTTTCTAAACGTACATTTAAAAATCCTTGAAGGTTTCCAAAAATGAAACATTAGCTAATTGATGGATTGTGGGAAGGTTTTTTTTTTTTTCTCTTTCTCTTACATAATGGATGTGTTCTTGATCTTGGCAACATAGTAACCAGTGATGCTCCAATACCAAGTACCGTACTCGGTACAAGTACAGATACTTTTCCAGCTACTAGACTAGAGAAAAAGTAAAAAGTTAGGTGGCAGCTGTCATTTGTAAGGAGCACACGGAGCTCCTGGGATTTGTTTTTATAAATATATATAAAGGGATGCACCGATACCATTTTTGCAAGTACAAGTACAGATACTTGCCCAAGTACTCACAGATACAAGTACTGATACATTTTTTTCTAAAACA